TCGTCGATGTATAGAGGCACTCGCTGGATGCTGCGGCAGGTTCGGAGGTGTTTCTTTAATTCCCGCCACTGCCGTTCAATAGAATTTGTATGAACAGCTATTTCCCGGACTAAAGTGGCGTCTGTGACCTCCCGTCCAAGACTTTCATGAAGCCCTCTAACTTGCACCGTTCCCTCAACAAATCTATGACGATGATTAACGGTAGAGTATCCTTTCATGTTAAGGCGCCTGTCACAGCCACGATAGGGGACCGGTGCTCATCAGAAATGATCCATGATTGAGCTTGCACTCGTGTTGCAATAATCGGATCCAGACTACTTCGCCTCTTATCTTGGATCTTTTCGACCCACATATCACCTGTTAAGCGACTAAAAGCACCAAAAACCCATACCTCCTCGCGATTCATGCGGAGTATCCTGCCGCGGCCGTACTTTCTAGTAAATAGATGACTTTCGTCCACCTCAACGACGTCTTGATTTCCACCGATTGGACGGTAATCATGGTTTTAGACGACATCCATGACCTCTCGAAAGAAATTAAACCAATCAACGCAACTTTTCTCCGTGAGGCCAGTGGAGGAGGATGCGTACGTTAGACGATCTTTTACGAAAAAATGAGAAAGTAGACGCGCTACTGCCAAGGGGCAAATGTGCGCATTATGAAAAAGAGTGTGCTGTTTAGGAGACCTAAACCGGCACACCCTAGTACACACCCACCTGAACCCAGTACCATTTTCACCAGTACGATCCTCTCTCCTTTCTGCCTCATCTTTCGGCCACAGGAGCATTTTCGCTCATCTGGAATGATTCCCCATGCAAGAAAAGCGATCCATGCTTGCTCGGGCGTTAAAATTGCCACGCCATAGGTCCAAACACTTAGCTGCCCCTGGAGGAGCATACGGTACGGCTCGTATGCTCGAATACGATTCTCCGCAGATGCTTTCCCGATCTCATACGGAGACATTTTAACTAATTTACACTAACTAAGTACACTAACTATTTTATCTAAACTATAGTAACTAAACTTAAAAAACTAACTATAAGCACGTGGGTGATCGGACAATCAGAAATTTACTCGTACGCACGTGTTATCACAACGATTACTCGACGAAGAAGAAGGAAGCAACCGCGATCGTAATCTACCTGGATTTCGGTTAACAAAAGGTAGGAATGCGCGGTAACGTTATTTACGCGCATCGTGCATCCTTTTTTATCATAATCCAGCGTCAGGAGGGGGTCTATCTGGACGAAAACCTTCCGCACAACAAAATTAACATAATTTTAGTTTTTGACCTCTAGCGGGTCAAGGTCACATATTTAAGACCTCCCACCCACACCATTGTGTTGCTCTCGTCAAGGGCTTTCCAATGACATATGACCCATCCGGATTTAACGTCGAGCTTTTGAGTAAACTCAATATATATATTTGACCTCTACCGGGTCAAGGTCACATATTTAAGACCTCCCACCCACACCATTGTGTTCCTCTCGTCAAGGGCTTTCCAATGACATATGACCCATCCGAATTTGCGTCCCACCTTTTGGTAAAGTCTAACCGGGTTATATCTTGAATTTGGTAAGAGATAGGAAAAAGCTGTTTATGTAAAAGTTCAATAGTATGATAATGTCTATTTTTCTGTGATTTCATTTTCTCCGCGAATGAAACGATGCACACAAAAAATGCAAATCCACTTTTTATTTAAATGGAATTGCATTTTTTTTCACTTACGTCAACTCCTTGAAACATTCTGCATAAAAAAGTACTATGGTACTATTAGAACTAATAAATGGAGGGACCTCGCGTCTACGTAAACAGTAAAACCTGAATATATGCAACAGAGATTGGGAACCAGACGTTGCATACATTCAGCCGAGATGTCGAATCTCGAATTAGATGCGACGACCAGTCAAACATGAACGTAGAAAGGGACAGACAGTGGAGGAGAGAGAGAGAGGTCTAATGATAAAAAAAAAGAGCCGAAACGTATCGGTATGACTAATTATAAAACTTTTTTATTTTTGACTTTTTTTTACTGAAACTTTTACTAGCACATTGGTGAAATTTTTCTGATTAAAATGATACCAAACACGACCTAGTTTGAATGGGGCGAGGTTATGGGGCGCTGTGAAAAATCCAGGCGGGCCGCAGTCAAAACTTAGCGAAAAGGGACAATCTCAACATTCAGAATGAGAGAAGGACAGCATGACTGTAGTGCGTCTTATTCAGCGTTCGGACGATGTTGCCGTTTTCGCTTGCCTTCGCAGCACAGTTCGAGTGACGTAATCAAGCTAACGCTTGATTCTGACTACGATTCCAAATCGGGAGCCTTTCTACTTAGACGCCACCTTATAACTACTAGCTGAACTAAATTTGTCACGTGACTTGCTCTGTATTATCCAGATAATGGCGGAAATCGCCTGTGAGAATGCAATTGCAATTTTACGCTTTTCGACCTTATATGAGAATATTTGAGGCTGGGTGAGGGCTCATTCGAAAGAGAAAGGTTCAGTGCAGCGCGCTCTGGTCATCGTTTGAGTCACAAAACTCTTTTAGTGACTTAAAAATACCTTGGATTCTGCGGATGTATTTTCTCGATTTTTCCTCTACTTTGGACACTCATATTATTAGATACTAACAAAATCTCGTTCAATCATGACCAGAGCGGGCTGCATTGAACCTTCCTCTTTCGAATGAGCCCTCACCCAGCCTCAAATATTCTCACATAAGGACGAAAAGCAAAAACTCCCAGACCCCTTTTAAGGCCCATTTTTGCCGGTAATATCACCTCGCTGCATTATCCGTGTCTACCCCCTTAACACCTACGTCATACTTACGTCAGCGTGGATTACACATTTTTGGTGCTAGAGGTGTTGTTAGCGCTGTGGGTTATGTTACGCACATGCGCCGTTACTGATATTCGCGTTGGTTCAACATCATGGCGTACAATACTCTAACACGTTAAGATCGTATTGCGACGGCGCACGGTACCAGCCGCATCAAGGCGGCGCGTACAAAATTCAAAACGGTAGTACATCGGTCGCCTATGCATCTACATATGTGTTCAACGATGCTGGGTGATCATCAAAACTGTAACAGAAATAACAACACTTCTTCAAATTATTTTGAATAAAATATTTTCTTCACTTACATAGAAATTATAATCTTTATAAATAATCTTCTTTATTTCATGGGGACAGAAGAGCAGTAACAATTTATTTTACTCTAAATAATGTAAATGTTAATTTACACCATAAATTATCACAAGATTATTTCAAACAATACCCAACTCTGATCATACCTTATGGAAATAATGAACAGTCTGTCTATTTACTTTACACGCGTATCATAACGCAAGATCATCTTACTATTACACGTCTAAAATAGTTTCTGTTACCATTAGAGGGACGATAAAGTAGTGAGATAATTTGCCTTTTTCTGTTTTAACTCCCACCACCGACGAGAGAGTCTCTCTCACAACGTCCCCATATAGAGGTGTGGATAAGTTTCCCTATGTTTTATCCGGGAAGTGATTAAATAAACATTTTAACACATAAGTTTTTATAATTAATTTTACTATAAATGTTAATAAATAAACTAGGAACACAAATTAAGTCACTAAAACTAATATTATAATTAATCTCTGTAATTCCTAATCGAATAATTAAATATGTATAAATGAGTACAAAAATCGCTAAATCTAACTACAGAAAACTCTGATCACACGCATGTTGACTACTTGGTGGTTCGAGGAAGAAGAAAGTTGCTTTCCCCTTTTTCGGGGAAAATGCCACCCCCAAACCGAAAGTAGAGGTCGCTACACGAAAAATAAAAATTGAAGGAAACCTAATTTTCCGACGAGGTTTCGCGAGCGCCTGAGAGGTCGCCACACCTACAAACATGTGGCGGCGTATAGAGTACCTATTTTACCGACACGGAAAGTGCATTTCCGGTAAGTTTGCACAAGACAAAAAAAAGGAGCCACATACTTCCGGGGCGCGCAAGGTTTTTCCCAGAGAAGGAAAATGCCTTCTTCCCACGCGAACCGTCGAAGTGGAAACATCGTAGTTTCCTAAAATCTCGGTAATGTGCGCATAGTTCCGCAGTTTTGTTTGTGCGAAGTCAATCGTTTAATAATTAGTTAAGTTTGTTCGCAGTTCGAGTTTAGTTCGCAACAATTAATTGTAAAAATTAGCAGCTAGTGCGCTCTGAAATAAACCAGTTAAAACATTACCCTGTTGATTCTCTTTCCTTCGACAGTTTAGTTACGCCTGAGAGTGTAGTCAACGCTACAAACATCTGTATAGTGGGGACATCTGTTGAAATGTTTCTGCTAGTAATTTGAAAACAATTGTTGCAACAAATTTCATATTTTTATCACAAAATTTATTTTCACATAATTAAAATTGTATATGTTGCTGAAATAACTCTAGGTGGTAGGTTCATATGACATTTTATTTGATATAAGACAAACATTAGTATCTTGCATAACTCGAAAATAAATTTTAATATTAAATAATTAAGAAGAAAGAAAATACTAAATATATGAAACTTTTCAGTGATATAAATTTAGGTTAAAACAATCGTATTTTAGAGTATGTCACTTATAATATGTATAATACTTTCTTCAGTATTATTGGTGCTGAAATTGTTGATTTATATCGATGTATTGTTCTGAACTGCAAAATAAGATGGACACAATTTTATAAATTAAAAGAAACTCCATCATTGATCGTTCCATTGGTTCCAACATTATACCTACTGCGCAAGTCAAATAGAAATCGCGGAAAAGCATTAAAAGTTTAGGTCTTAAATTGAAATAAAATTATTAAGTAGTTTGGTAAATGATGTAACTGATATGATTACTTTTAGTATAAAAAAAAATATCATTTATATTACATACAATCATGGGATAAAAATAAGGAAAATGTTAGAAAGAAGGCTGATCTACGTAATAAATATTGTTGGCCCTTAAAAGGGCCGATTAAAGTTTGCTGAACCATTTACTTCGAACTGGTGTACTTGGTAACAGCTTTGGTGCCTTCAGAAACAGCATGCTTCGCTAATTCACCAGGCAACAAAAGTCTGACGGCCGTTTGGATTTCCCGAGATGTGATGGTCGATCTCTTGTTGTAATGAGCTAAGCGTGAGGCTTCAGCAGCAATCCGCTCAAAGACGTCATTCACAAAACTGTTCATGATGCTCATCGCCTTGCTGGAAATACCAGTGTCAGGATGGACTTGCTTCAACACTTTGTAGATGTAGATTGCATAGCTTTCTTTCCTCCTCCTCTTCTTCTTCTTATCGGTCTTGCTGATGTTTTTCTGTGCTTTGCCAGCTTTCTTCACAGCTTTTCCACTTGCTTTAGGAGGCATTTTCCTAACGATTTCGTAAACTCGAGACACACTCTACAGCAGCAGAAATTCACGACTGAATGTCGGAACGGAGTGCAGGCGCTGTATATATGGTGTGAAAGGACAGCCGAGGGCGCACCAATCACGTGCAAGCTGCTGCCTCATTGGTCGGTCCGAACCTCAACGGGCAGCTATATAAGCGAAGCTCTCGCTCCGGAATCTCACATTACTTTTGAATCTCTTCAAGTACAATTCGCTTGTTGTTTTCAAAGTTATCGAGAAAATGTCTGGCCGTGGTAAAGGTGGAAAAGCTAAGGGAAAGGCGAAGTTCCGTTCCAATCGGGCTGGACTCCAATTTCCCGTTGGTCGTATTCATAGACTTCTAAGGAAAGGAAATTACGCGGAACGTGTTGGTGCAGGAGCACCAGTATATTTGGTTGCAGTTATGGAATATCTAGCAGCTGAAGTATTGGAATTGGCTGGCAACGCTGCTCGTGACAACAAGAAGACCAGAATCATCCCTCGTCATCTTCAACTAGCCATACGTAACGACGAAGAACTGAATAAATTACTGTCTGGCGTTACTATCGCTCAAGGTGGTGTATTACCGAACATTCAAGTAGTCCTATTGCCAAAGAAAACCGACAAGAAGGCGTAACTCCACAAAGAATTCCAGCATACAAATGGCCCTTTTCAGGGCCACAAAACATTTTAACACGAAAGAATCACTAACTGTTCATCTATTTTCTATTTTATTTTACAATTTGTGAACTTACCAAGTACCTTAACGTACGTACGTTATAAAGAAAGTAGTAGTAATATATTTTTACAATAATACAATACTATTTAGAATAACTTTTTAATTCTGGTAATAAAATACCTAAGTATTCAAACGGTTTGAGAACAGATGAAAGTTAAGAGGTAAAGCTATACTATTCAGAAAGTTCTACATTCCAACATCTGGCCCACATGGTTGGAGCAGATGTTTTATTTCAAGGGAGCCAATACCGAAAGACAAAGGTAGTCCCGGTGACGGTGACCTCTCACTCACACATCACGAGGATTGGAGAAAGCAAGCGTCCGACAGGCAAGGAGGATGGAATCTCGCATGTATACGATGCTCTCCACCAATTCGCATGACAATAAATAAACTGCTATCACGCAAGCAGAGTTACGATCTACGTGTTCGGTTTTCGGGCAGAGAACTGTGGCTTTTCAAAGATACCTTCAAGCTGTTCTCATCAGAAAAATTTCTGGGCTGAGAGGAAAATACTTAAATAAGATATGCTTTGCTGTATGTACTTAACTTTACTTTAATGCACTGTATTTAAAAATTGTAAGTGCATCCGACAGCAACATGTATTTAAAATCTACAGTAATAATGCTTACGAAGTTCTTACTTTGTTAGTCTCTGAATGAAAATTCAAATGCTATTTGTTATTGTTAAAGTGACTATAGCAAAGCTGAAAAGCTTTTTAAAAAAGAGGGAGAGCATATTGTTAGAAAAATCGAAATAGACAAACGGTTGAGGCAGACCATGTGCGTTCTGTCAGCGCGTTTCCCCTTCTTAAAGGAAAGTTCTCCAACTTAGGGGTGTCATAAACAAAAGGGCATACTGTCGAAGTCGTTCTCACGACCGAGGATATTTGAGACGGCAGAGAATTCTTATTCTCACCGTCGTCGTGTACGATTGCTTTTGAATTTGAATAAAGAGTATATCTTATTTTAAAATACGCCCACAGTTATTGAATAAACCAGACATTTTAATTATCCGCTCTGTTAGTCTTATAGTATCAAGAAGAAAGTGTCATTGGTGTGTGTTTTCCATTTTAAATTTTAGTGTATATTATATTCTCTATAAATACAGTAATTATATAAAATGGTATAAATAAAGATTGTAAAGTATTATAATTCATTCAGGTAAGTTACTCAACCTTTTCTCTTATTGTTAGCTTATTAGTCTCCTATACGTTTCCCATAGGATCCCGGCGTTTTGACGATTAATTTAGAGCACCCTGTATATTTACATGTTAACTTAATATTCATCGTTACTAGGGCCACTGCTTATTAAAAAATTCAAAATTTAGCATAGTGTTGTGACCCCGCGAATAAAATAGTACTTAAAGAGTTTTCAAACATATATGTATTTTCGTATAACGTGTACAGAGGTTCCACTACGAAGTGCTCTCTAGGAAGGCTAGCAATCGAGTGACAAAACAAACGTTGGGAGAGGTCCTGGTCCCAAGAGCCTCGGAAAAGCTAGGCCCTTAAGGGCCGTGACTAATCGGATAGTTTTCCACTCGTCACGTACGCCCAACTTTCTGGAGAAAGGTGGCCTGAGTGTTGGGGTATCCAACAATAGATGTATCGGTTAAAGTGGGCTATGTGTATTTTGTCATGGCGTTTCCCCTCTCACAAGGGAAACTTCAAGGCCAGGGTGCCATAAAACGGTCGCTAAAGGCCATGGTTACGTTGGCATCCTCACGACTAAGAAACTCCGAACAGGGTACTCTTGTATTGACTGTGGACGTGCAACTATGCCACAGAATAAACGACTAGCATGGTAAAAACCGTAGTTGGAACATTTTTAATAATAATCTAATTCCTACTGTCTATTCTGATTTCTTACATCCTCGCTTTCGTTCTCTCTCTCTACCAAGTTTCCAACCATATAAAAATATCAGCCATATTATGCCGTCAAGGTGGCAATCTTGACCACGACTATTATTCTAATTCTATTTAATGGGAATAGGTATGGGTTATAGTTTATAAAATAAATTAAACTCAAGAAATACAAAAATCTTTCAACTTCATTTCGAATGAAATGCGGACGACGTCTGTACGGTTCGAGATTCAAAACCGAAGTGAAAATAAATGAGAAAAGAAATCTAGGAAGGAAAACCCCTATTGAGCCCTCTTAAAGAAACTTACAATTAGAGAAGTGCCCATGTGCTGTTTATTACTCGGCTCTTTCCGGTGTGACAAACTGCAGACCTTCATTACTTGACTTGAGGACCGTTAAGCCATTCAAAGTACATTGTCACTGTCCTTCGACACTCGATTTATTTTTGTAGCTAGATATTCCAACACTATTATTCTCAACTATTTTTATGAAGTCCACAGCCTATATACATACATATATTAAGTAACTAGCACGAACATCTGGACTTTTTGATTTGTTTTCACCGAGAATTTTTACCCAAGAAAAATAATGGCTCCTTTTCTACCTAAGCTACATTGCCGGTACAGGCAAGGCAAGAAACCCAAATGGCCGAATTAGTTACGTGCCTATACCACAGTATAGGAAAGAGCAATAGGCTCACTCCGTGTCGGCACCTTTGATCTCATGACCAATAGATCGCCATATTGCTGGTTGTGCGCGGGCTCTAATTTGAAAAGCACTCGGTACAATCAAAAAGAGATTTCGTAATAGAATACCATAAAAAGACTATTAAATATCTACATTTAATTAAAATACACATTTTATTGAAATCTCTGTACAATACAATTATTATATACAACAATTATTCAATTAATAAAGTCCTAATAAATTATATACAAATGTATAATGTATACAGCATATCTTAGAAATTAATAAACAACCCATAGTGGTAATATTTTGATAAAACAATGATGATAATAATAATAATGTCTGTATCTAAAATGTACAAGAAACGTTGGATAAATATCATTTGACAGATATAAAATATAGGGTGTCCCAGAACGCCTGTTACTGCTGTCACTGCTTGCACTTTGGCACCCTTTAAAGGAACAACGGTATCCACCTCTTTCACTCATATTTTATATCTCTGTATAAAATGTACTGAATTTTATCGCAACAGGAATGTTTTAGAAGTAACAGAGGTTAAAATGCAAGAAACTATTATCATATATATTCACAGCCGCCATATTGTTGGTTGTGCGATTCGGTCATGCGCGAGCGACAATTATTGGTACGCTTTTTGGCAGAGTGATCCTACTGTTCTTTCCTATACTGTGCCTATACAGTAACATCTCTAGTTGTCCGTTTGTTGCCTTGATGACAGTGTCCGTTGGTTTCGTCCTAGGCCTATGTATTTTTCACCCGACGCCTATGTTCTGTTCGTTCGAGTCAGTCACGCGATACGCAATGCGGCTTCTTTGATGAGAGTTAGAGTTTTTATAGTTTATAATAAAGCACTGTACCTTTTTTAATATTAATTTTGTTTACCTACGAATTTTTTAAACATATTAGCCAGACTCTTCTGATTAAAATGAGACCACACACGATATAAATTGGAGCATATTTACTTTATGTACATACAGGGGAACATCCCCAATGCGAATTTTTTTTCGTCTATATAGTCCAAATTATGTCATGTTTGGTTTCATTTGAACCAGAAAAATTGTACCAATATGTTAAAACAATTTGCATCCAGAAAAATCTAAAAATAAGAAAGTTAAACTGTTGTTAATTTCTGAGCTGCTACGGCTCTCATGCTACCCTTCTCTTTTACGGCTTGTCGTCGGAAATCAAAAACAGCCGTCAGGCTCGATAAATCGCGTCTATCTTGCCCACATTGTCTATTTTCGCTTCTCAACTAGAGAGATTTTACTGTACTCCCTAGTCAGTTATCAGTCTAACGATAAGTCTGAATGTTCTATGTAGTGCATTGAAACCGAACGTAAAACAGAACGCGATATGCGTTCATAGATAAGTAAGTACATATATACCATGGCAATAACAGACATTGCATCTTGGAAGTTCAAGTTATGACCTCACTGTATGTAATGTGACGAGACAATTATTATGCACTTTCCATAGCTCCCGTAGTTCGTACGAATGCGCAGCGGACTTCTGATTGGATAGAAGTAAGGTGGAGGGGAAAGCAGAGTTGCCGCTGTATAAAAGAGCCATGTTCTTGTTTCCACAATGTAGTTGCAAACATTTAATCGTAGAGTTAAAGTCGTTTGTGAGAGAAGTACATCATGACTGGTCGTGGAAAAGGAGGAAAAGGATTGGGAAAGGGAGGAGCAAAACGTCATAGGAAAGTTCTTCGTGATAACATTCAAGGTATTACAAAGCCGGCCATTCGTCGTCTGGCTCGTCGTGGTGGAGTGAAACGTATTTCTGGCTTGATTTACGAAGAAACGCGAGGTGTTCTGAAAGTATTCTTGGAAAACGTTATCCGAGACGCTGTGACTTACACTGAGCATGCTAAAAGGAAAACCGTTACGGCTATGGACGTCGTCTATGCCTTGAAACGGCAAGGAAGAACCCTCTACGGTTTTGGTGGTTAAAGTGTCATTCTTCACTTTTGTTCAATAAAAACGGCCCTTTTCAGGGCCACCATATTTTTCTTGCGTATGAATTCTCAGTTCCATTGATCCATATTACAATTCTAACATTTTTATACCCCCATGTAAGTGATACTACCGTGCATTACGTTTTATGTAAGTTCATAAAAAAAATTTATATTCTGTGCAGGAAATTTGAATTGCACAAGATTTTCTCTATTGGAAGTGAGTTTCAATAAATAATAAACACCATGAATTTTTTACTAACTTTGCGTTATTTCTTGGAAGGGAAGGCTGTCTTTACGCTTTAAAAATCGAACTCGAAGTGAAAAAAAGACTCGTAAAGATACGACAGAAAAGTCGGTTGTCCAATTAAGAACA